TTTCAGAATGACAAAGAAATCAGTTGTGCTGGAATAACACCTCTCAACATGAAATCCTAACAAACCAGATTGAGTGAAGTGCCCTACATAGTTCAGCTGCTTGAATCAAAGATCATAAAAAAACCACATGGTGTAGCACCACAGGGATCATCTGGTATGAGCCTCAGGCTTGTAGGTGATTCCCATTCTATCTTCCTTTGTACCTGAGAAAAGAGAAAATGTGAAAGATTCTTGCTGTGGCTTTGAACTAACCATGCAAGAGCTGAAAAGTAGAATTGCCTTGTTCTAGTAACGGTTAAGAAGCAAAGATCTAGAACCATGATTTGCTCCTAGTTTCTTTTGGACATCACTGGAAAAAGCAGTTTGTTCAGCCTTGCAGAGGGCAATTTCCTTCTTTGTGTGTGAAAGTAAAGGTGGTGCATACAAGCACAATGCTCCCAAACTGCTTTGTCCATAGAATACTGATTTGTGGATTAGCACTACTAATAAATGTAACCAATGTATCTCATGTAGGGAGAGCCATTCATCTCTCTGTATAGGCTCATCAAAAATTACACTCCTCAATGCACAGGATAAAAAATATTTAGGGGAAATGAGTGGGGTTTTGCAAAACTATGCTGCTTTGTGTTATGCTTTTTGGGGTGCACAATTCCATTCCCCTTTCACCCTGTTTTTCTCCCTGCACTGCCACTTGCTATTAGATGCTTCCCGAGTCTTTAACTGTATTTTAGAGAAACTTTGTATGTTCCCCGAATTGCTTTTTCTGAAACATTATGTATTATTCTACTAATTTCAATACTCCCCTTACCTTGAATTTACTGATATTTGTGATGCTGTTACATCTAAAGAAGAAAAAGTATTTGTTAAACTTCTATTTGTACAAATAGGAAATATTGAGGGAAATAGATTAGCTGCTTTACCCACCAATGGTTTAAATTTCTATTTGCTACAGGGACTGTTTGACAAATACCAGACAATCCTCATTAGAAATATTATATTTTCTGAAAAAATGTACTGCTTGTTTAATACAATTCTAAATTTTACTCTAAAATCAGACACATTTTTATCTTTTTTGCAAGCTTATCTATAACTTTTGTTATTTATTTATTTATTTAATTTTATAAGGTTTATTTCATTCAATTTTGGACTGTAACCCTCATAATTCCCAGTCAGTGTGATCAATGTCAGTAGTGGTCAAGAATTATGAGTGTTATTCTCCTAGTGCATTAGAGAATCTTGATTGAGTTAAGGTGTATGAACTAATGAAAGAGCTAATGAAATGAAGAAACCTTAAAATATTGACAATTAACCATTTTTTTCAGGTACGTAAACATTAATAATTGATCCAGGTTCTCAATTTCTCTTTATTTATTTAATTGATTAAACAAATTTATATAGCCACCTAACACACACATATTGACTTTGAATTAGGAGGCAATTTTATTCTGAAGGTATCTCCCACTAGGTTCTTATGTTGATTTATTTGGAAAACAGGTCTACAAGATATTTCAAAACTATATTTAAAACAGCATTAAAGGTAACGGTTCCCCTCGCACATATATGCTAGTCATTCCCAACACAGCATTAGAGGAAGGAAAAAGTTATAAAAGCTAATATAATTAATATCTGTGTGAGAAATTGTTATTCAATGTGTTATTGAAACCATTTTAATACCCTTCTAAAGAAGAATAGTAAATATGTAGAACCATTTCCCTGATATACTTTAAAATTCTATGTTCTAGTAATGGTTTCTGTGAAGTATCCCATTACAATATAAGCAAGTCTGTTCTAATCCAGAATGCATACACAAGCTAATTACACAACTTCCTGTCATATCTGACACTAAAAGCTTTTATTTCAGGAATTTGGCCATGTTTATACAGAACTCTAAGTGCTTTAAGAGAGGCTTATGTACCTAATTTCAAATGTTTGTTAATGAAAAGTATGTACATTTACCGGTATTTTAAAAATCTATTTCACAATTTTCAGTTTTCACACTTTATATTTTAAAATATTGTTACAAAAGTTTTGTACTTCAAAACTTGATATATTCCAGCTTAAATATATTGATATATTCCAGCTTAAATACTGTCATTTGTATTTAATTATAGATATAAATATGAGTTATAAATAAATGCACAGAAAACCATTATTGGCGTTATTTGTAATAGCAGTTATTTTTTTAACTTCATCTATTTCTAGATGTTCTTATGATATTAAACAAATGGAAAGATGCAAATTGCCTGTCTTTAGCTGAATTAGGTTTCATGATAATGCTTTCTTGGCCATAATTTGTATTCCATAGTAGCATTTGTGACATGGGCGGCTATACAAATTTGATGAATAAATAAATGTTCATGTTGTTCTGCTTCTATCAAAATGTCTCAATACCAGACATTTCGATGCCTCATATACTGTACAGCTAAAAGGAGACATGAACAGATTCAAAAGAATATAAAGTTCATGTTCCTAACATCTGCAAATTTGTGGGCATGTGGCACCCTCTAGTCCTTGGATGTAACAAACTTGATTATGAAATGTCAATGTTGTTAAACAATTTTATTTTTTACAGATTGGACAACAGACCATATCTTTAGGCTGTTTTCACAAAACAAAAACTAGGCATAATTCAGTACTAATCATATGGAGTCAGCCATTTCTAAAAATATTATCTTCCTGTTCAATTCAAACTAACTTTCCACCTAAAAACAGGTAGGCAATATTTTGGAAGCCAAGTGCTGGACTTAAGAATTGGCGGGGTGGAATTCAGAGTGCATAATAGGTGACGCTACATCACAATTGTGGTCAGCACATAGTTTGGAAGAAAATTTTTAAAAACTTTGGTATGTCAATCTTAGCCCTTACACAGCAATTTTTATTTATTTCCTAGATGTCCTCAAAAACAATTGTTCATTTCATAAATGTGAGAGAAATATCAATGGATTCTTCAAACATGGGCAATCTGCAAGCATAGAAGAATCAGAAAAAGCATCTGGCTGACCTACTTTGATCTCAAAAAGTAAGTAGAGTCACTTGGAGACCTAGTTATTACTTCTATGGGAAACCTGAAGAGAATTCCAAGGATGTAGACTAGTTGGAAAACCAAGTAAACATGACAGGAGAGAGTGGCAAACAAATTCTAGATTGTTGCCAAGCCAAAGACATGACTATAGCCACCAGAGATCAAACTTGATATAAATAGTAGTAGTAGTAGCAATGGCTTCATTATGTTACTGCTAAACATCATTAGCCAATTTGGTGTAGTGGTTAAAGCAGGGGTGTCAAACTGGCCAGCAGGCTGGATGCCCCACGTCCAGACCACGCCCACCCCAGCTCCGCAAAGGGAAAAAAGTCACAAAAAGTCAATGAGTTTGACACCCGTGGGTTAAAGCATCAGGCTAAAAACTGGAAGACAGTGAGTTCTAGTCCCATTTACAAGACAAAGCCACTTGGGCCAGTCATATACCCACAAGAGTATCTTCATCATTTACGTTAAAAAGATATACGCAAAAAGCCCAGGCAAAGCTATGTTTTATTCCATTCAATCATGTCCAATTCTTAGAGACTGCTTGGAGTTTCCTTGTCAAGGTTTTTCAGAAGTGGATTACCATTGCCTTCTTCCTAGGGCTGAGAGAAAGTGACTGGCCCAAGATCACCCAGCTAGCTTTGTGCCCAAGACAGGACTAGAACTTATGGTCTCCCAGTTTCTAGCTGGTGTTTTAATCACTACTCCAAATTGTCTAATGATGTTTAACAGTAACATAATTTGGTACAAACTCAACCAATATACTACTGCTTCTTGTATCAAATTTGACCTCTGGTGGCTATAGTCATGCCTTTATCTTGGCAATAATGAGGAATTGGTTTGCCACTATCTCCTGCCTTGTTTACTTGATTGAGAAGCCAAGTCAAATAATAAGCCTCTCTGTCCAGGACCTACATGACCCATCTTAGTGTGACATATGTGAATTACTGTCCACAATGCTGCATTAATATTTTTAATGATAGATCAATAGACACAAACTGGGCTGAACTATCAATCAAGGTTTTGTATAAACTGCTGAGGATTGCTTAGGGAGTAGCAGCCAGACATATCAATTGAATAAATACTTCACAATGGTAGAATCATGAGGCACTAGGAAATAATTTTCACATAAATTCGTATTAATGCATTCAAGACACAAACATTGTTTCTCTATGGAGTACTAAAAGACTAATTACTCGCATATATTAACTATTCAAAATTTCAATCGAGTTCACCCAGCATAGTTGGGAGGTCACAGCTTAGTAAAAACTGATCTGGAGGCCTAGGGCCAACTACAGTTCCCAGACTGGAAAAAAAAATCAGAAAAATCTAAGATTCTTTCTTTAGTTTTAATCTTACTTCAGTTTATTTTAAAATGTGTAGTTTAATCAAATTAAATAAAACCTCATCAGTTTATTGTTCGCTTTGTGGTCTTACTTTAATACAAAGTCTAACCATAAATGTAAAGCTCTTCAGAAATAATATTGCTTGATGATTATCTTAGCTTTAAAAAAAAACCAATATTGTATCACCAATAATTCTACGCATATATTATAAAACAAGTATTTATTTTCGTACGTTCAATTTTTTTTCTTCCAAAATCTACAATGTGCTTCGGAAGCAACTTGAAAAAGAAGACTCTCTTCGCCAACCACTATAAAGGCCATTTTTACGTTTCATGGGCCTTTTAAAATTTCCGCAAACGAAGTTCTTCCCGTATTATTTTACTCTCAACGTTAAAAAAAACCCACTTTCGTTCCTAAAATCCAGGTTCCTCTGTAGGGATTTAAATTCCATCCCGGAAGTCGACTCTTTCACGCAATGTACTATGGGTATTGTGGTCCCTGCTTCCCTGCAGCGTGTTTACGACGAAGGCGGAAAAACCGCCCAAAATAAACCACAACTCCCCTGATCCTTTAGGTCGGCCACCACCTCCACGCCGCGCAAGCGCATTGGCGAGAGCTGGTTTTTGAATCAGCGGCGTTGTTATTGACGCCATATTGCTGGTGTGGAAGAGTCACAGAGAGACGCGCGACGGCCACCGCCGCAGTCATCGCTCTTCATCGGCGGCTCCAGGCCGGGTAGCCTCCCGTCAAGCCGCCCCCACCGGCCTAGACACCCTCCCGGATACGACCCGGGGCGGATTTTCCGCGGGCGGAGCCTATAAGTCCAGCTGAGCCGGGCCCAAAGCTCCGGGCCGCTCCCTGGAGACGCAGGCGGAGCCGGCGGCCGGCAGGAGAAAGCCGAAGCGGCGCAGAGCGGTGGCGACCGGCCGTTTGACAAGACGCGGCAGCTCGGGAAGCTCTCCTCTCCCTCGCCTCCCGTGTCAGTCCTTCTGGCCGCTCCTTCGGTGCGAAAGGCCCAGCCGGCTCAGCTGCTGAGCCCCTTCTCCTTTTTCTTCCTCCTCCTCTTCCTCCACCGCCCTCCCTCTCCGCCCGGCTCGGCCATGGCGTGCGGCGCGACCTTAAAACGGACTCTCGATTTCGACCCTTTGCTGAGCCCGGCCTCGCCGAAGCGACGGCGTTGCACTCCATTGTCCGCCTCGGCAGCCGCCTCTTCCTCTTCGGCCTCTTTTGCCTCGTCCCCGCAGAAATACCTGCGCATGGAGCCTTCGCCCTTCGGGGAAGTGTCCACTCGCCTCACCACAGGTAAAATACGGGGGGGGGGTGAGAGAGACTGGGAGTGGGGGGAGGGTTGGGTGGGGCCGTGGAAGGGGCGTTGGGCGAGGGGAGCGACAGAGACAAATCTTGGGCTTCTCTAAAGCCTCGGAAGAGCGGCAACCGCCGCTTCTCCTTCCCCTCCGAATGGGGGGGTCTGGTCCGGCCTCCGCTTTCCCACAGAAGCCGTCCCCTCCCCCCCCCCGCTTTTTTCTTTCGCTGCGGTGTCGGCACAATGGAAATGGCCGCCCTCCCCGCGGTGGGGGTGGGGAAGTGGCAAATACGGGAGAGGCCCCCGAAGGGGTTCGTCCTGGGCTGCGAGGGGACGGGAGGGGGGGAGGAGGAAGACTGCTGGCCTTTCTTTTTCTGCGCCGGCCTTGGGAGCGATGGGGGTGTGTGAATACTCTTCCCACCGCACCTTTGCCTCCCCCCCCCCCTTTGCCCCCCCCCCCCCCCCTTGGGAAAAGGCCGGCCTGGGCGGTTCGAGAGGTATTGGTGCGGCGGCGAGAAAAGAGGAACT